CCACCCCCACCATCTCCATCATCTCGTGGTGGGAATCCGGTTCCTCCATCATCAAGCTCTGGTGACTTCTCCTTTGCTGCAGCAATAGACATTATCATATTACTACTCACATAATGCATTTCTCGCAGGGTTACAGATAATGGACATATAAAATCAGTAATGTTAAAAAGGCCATAATATCGAAGAAAAACATAAAATGCAACCGCCATATATATACAATAGTTGAAAATTTATATCATAAAAACCACTTTGAACGCATTTATTTCAGCAATCCCAAATACCCTTATAAGACACCCATACCAACTCCTTCGAGTTGCTAGACAGCTTTTTAACTGGCACAAAAAAAAAAAAAAAAAAAAAAGAAACTGTTTCCAAGACATCTCAAATTGAAGTGGAAGTAAATGCGATGCACCTAAATTCAAATGAAAATTTTAGATGAGTCATTGTGAATAAGGCTAGTAGCTTCTTGAAGTGCAGTAAGAAAGATTTTTTTGAAATGCTGTAAGAAAGATTAATAAGCTCATTACAATGAACAGGAGCTTGAGTTATTGTTGGCGACTCCCGAGTAACAGTCTGAGTTTGTCCTTGGCTCTGGCTGCATCTTGCATTCTGCAGGAGGAAATAAGCAGATAAAAAACAGAGAGTAGATTAGCATTCATTTTCTACGAAAAAAAAAATTTACTGGAAGCAGAAAGAGGAAATACAACCTAGAGGTGGAGACGCAATAGTCCAGAAAAACAACAACATACCAAAGAACAAGAAAAAAAAAAAAAGAAAGATAACAAAAATAACAAGGGTAATTACAAAATTGCAAACCAATAGCTCTGAAGCATAGAACAAGAAATCTCCCCAGCAAAAGCGAACCTAAGCACACAATTCTATCCCAAATTCCATTCTCTGGAAATCCTATCTCAAATACCATTAACAAAATCAGGATGCTAAATGAAGATTCTAACATCAATCTGCAACGAAAGCACCCAAAGACCAGCAACAAAAGCCGCATCCTGAAGGTGTGGGAAGTTCCATACTCAATCCAAAACCACTTTTTTTGAAATAACTCTACCCAAAACCACTTAAGATGTAGAAACAAAAGTCTTCAGATTTAAGGGGCAAACCAAGCTAAGTCTACATGAAGGGAAAAGTCTAGTCAGACCTTCTAAACCATCACAAAATGCATAAATACTATTCTAAACTATGAAGACACAAGAAGCGCACATCACACAAAAAGAGCAATATGGATCCGTACACCTGAAGGAAATCACTGGTATTAATTCTGCTAGGAGATGATAAGTCTTAACCTTAAGGAAACCTCCAATTTCTCTAAGGAGAGAGGAAGAACAATTTTATATCTATTGCAGCTACAGGTAAGGTGATCAAAGAAAGATTTGCAAGCATAAGTCCTTCACGAATCAAGGGGCTAGATTCTAGAATCTGGATTAGATGAAGGAAGAAAGGTTCAACAAAAAGATTAAAGATACTAAACCTAGGGGATTGTGTCTACTTGATCACCCATAACAGCACCGAGTGTGATGCAAGTGAAGCACCCAAAAGAAAGAACAGGACCCACCCCTCACCCTTAATTGGAATAAGTGGGCGAGTAGGTAACATACTTGAATAAATGCATTCCAAGGACTTCTATTAATTGGAACAAGGGCTTCTAGAGGAGATGGAAGAACTCATTTCAGCATCACAAACATTTTGAGGCAGCCCAAACTTGCTGCTCACCACCCTATGTCACAAAGAACAAAGTTCATTTGGAAAGTTCCAGAACCATTTGGCTACGAGGACAATGTTTTTGGACAATCAGTTTGTAAGACCTAATCCACCTTCATTCTTAGGAAGAAGTCATACCTCCAATATCGTAAGGTACCCTTGGCCTTCTAACTGACTCCCAACCACAAGAATATTTCATGAATATTGAATTCAAGTGCTTATGACTAACCATCTCTACTTGTTGCCACTGCTAAGCTTTCCTACACAATAGCAGTGCACACCTTATGATATCAAAACACTCCCAAGAGTACCTTTCTACTCGATTCTCCCCGATAGGGTTACTATAGATTTTAGGCTACCTCCACTTGAATCCACCATTCCTTATTTTCCTTCAAGAACAAAGGATCATCTTACTTACGCCTCCCCTTAAGATTTCAGTAACTGCTAGAAATATGCCTCTGCTGTTCTTTCTTCTTTCTTGAAAAGAGGTTCTATCAAATTCTCTATTCCTCAACAGGTCTCATTTTCTTTCAGTTCTCGCAGCTCTTTAAAATAGAGAGCAACTAATAATCATCTTCCATATCATCAAGACTCTTTCCAGCTTCCATTTGCCTTTCTCTGCAATCCTCAGATGATTAGACCACCCTCCCTGCTCCAAAGTTATCCCAAATGCTTTGGGTTCTATTAGTAACAATTTAGACTACCCATGATGGATTTGACAAATGACTCCCTAAAAAATACAGAAGAGAATAGATTAGCCAAGAGGATAGTTTGATCATAGATCAAACTACGGCTAATTGATCAGACAAGCAATTCTAGTGAAAACTATAGCCACTAGGACAAGACGATCCTACCTTTGAAATCCAAAGAAGATCAAGATTCATATGAAAATATTTCAGGTAAATTACGTGGAGCTCCTATGAGGTTTTTGTATGATTAAATCAAGATCCATTATTTTTCACATATAACAATTTAGCCTCTGCATACAAATATATCAATTAAGTCCAACTTATATAAAATGCTAAATGATACTTAAATGCACCAGATGCCAATCACATGAACTTTAAACTAATAAAAAGCAACATAATAAACTATTTTACTTGAAAATTTTCAAAATGATAATATATAGTAAAGAAGAAGCAAACATGAGAGTGTAAGAATAGCTGAAATATCTACGAGAGTATAGTGTGTAATAAGCAGTTAAAAAATAGTACTTAATATATAGAATTACTAGATTATTATTTTTGAAAAATAATGGACCCAATTATACTTGTATACCTATACAAATCCGACTTCTTGTAGAAGTCGAATTCCTATACAGATTAGCAAAACAAAATAATAGTCGACTTACATAAATAAAAGATATTTTCCTTGTATTGGACTGATTTGTATTTAGTTTTTTAATAAAAACTCTCTCTAATTTTCTCCAATATATATCCAAATTTTGTAAATTAAGTACTATGAATAAAAAATTCAATAAACAGAAAATTTAATTACAAATTTCAATACCATTTATCACAAACTACCACGAAAATATTTATCCGAGTACCAATTACTGATTCCTCAGAAACAAAAAGAGGTAAGAGACGCACACATGTATGCAAACTAAAGCTCCAAAAAAGCTCTCTTAAAAAAAATGCATTAAGGGTGAACCTAAAGAACACACATGAAAACAAAGCAATAAAGCATCCCTCAAGGCATGACCACAAGTCAGTAAGAGGGTCACACCACCCACGCAACCTTGGCGACTTTCCATATATCATAGGATATATCACTTTTCAGCTTTTGATTCATCCTCAAACATTTCCACATCATGAACAAAGCTAATTGGCTGATAAGCAGATTAATTCTATTTCTTTGATAACAGAAGAATATTTATTAAGATAAGAGGAGAAAAATACAATGAAAGGAATATAAAACATCCTCCAGATTTTAAAACAGATTAATTCTATTAGAACTGAAATAATGCTGTAGAATGCTAAATTGTGCCTATCCGAATTTTTGCAAATCTTATCTAGTTAGATGGAGTTCCAACACCTAAATCTAGATTAAGCACTGATATTATTTAACAATCGCCTGCTTTTATGATGATGGCTAAATCCTGTCCCTCTACCACAGCCAACTCTGGAAAATCTCTCACAACTCAGGTACAAGCTTCAAAGATCTTAAAATACCTGGTTTCCAAGAGTCAAATTGCTAACTAATAACCAATAGATGACTTTTATTACCCAAAAAGAACTTTACTGTCAGTTTGTAAAGAAAACACATTTTTTGTTTTATTTTTTAGTTCTTTTAGGAAAAAAAAAAAAGGAAGCAGGTTTATGGTTCCCAGAATATAAGATATTTAATGGGAAAGGATTACCACATAGTAAACAGAATTCGCCTAGAAAAAACTTACAGAAGCAAAAGCACATATTACAGAAGAAGACTTTATCCGACTAGAACTCATGGCAAGTCCTTTCCCATAAGTGGGTTGTAATTGCAAGCCAAGCCCCATTTGACCTGAAGCAGCAGCTTTAATTCGTCTCCTGAGTGGTTGAAATTGCATGTAAACCCTCTCTGAATCAATAAGATACAGTTAATTAATACTTCATGAGTTCTTCACAGTAAAAAGGGCATGGATTATCAATTCTGAGACATAAGCATATAAAAAAGAATACAATTTTCCCTGTGATAATTATGGTGAATCAATAATACAAAAATCTAACTAAGTTGTACATAAAATGATGTGACAGGACATAAGGTAATTTGGAGAAATGAATTTAAGAATTGGAAAACATGCTATTTGAATCTAAAAATTACCAAGGAAATAAACAGAATAGTTCTCCTGAATAAATATCTTCCATAATAATCTAACTTACTGGTATTTACATGAACATTTTTTACCACTAATTTTATTCTTCGAAAACCAAAGAGGATATTCCAGATAACCTCAAACCATAACTCAATCAGACCTTTCCTTTCTTTTCTCAGAGAAAAAGGAGAACATCCTTGTACCAGTATATAGAGTGCCACCATATACCAAAAAATACCAGGAATAGGACTCCAAGATCTCCATCATTAAGAGAATAACCCATGTGCAAAATCCGAAGGGTCCAGAACCCGTCAACTCTATTACAAGCAAAAGGAGAGATAATGTCTTCAAGGCTATATTATTTCTTCTACTCTAGATAACCCAAACGGCTGCATATCATATAAAAGACACAAGCTTTCTTGGACTTGGCCACAGAAATACTGACTATACCCCCCAGCTCATTTATGTCAGAACAACTTAGTACCCATCTAGATAGCCTTCTCGTTTCCAGATATCAAAGGAGAAGAGGATTCATTCTTATTATGGCCAGAAACCATCTGTCAACGGTTTCACCCTAGTTAAGTTAGGTAATGGTTATAATTCTTCTCTGAGCCACCACCCAAGTAAAGAAAGCAACCTAATCAATCTGTGACCTTCATCTTCCAAATTTGCTTTCTAGGGAAAATAGTCCAAATCTGTTCAGGGGTCTGAAGGTTTCATGGAAAACATATCATACTCAGAGAGGTTTCAAAGAGGAGGTTAGCTCATTTTCCATTTCCATGTTCCATTTGGATGCCCAACTTTCTAGGAATATTTACTTTTCAAAAAAATCTTAATGACAGACAAACCAATGATCAAGATATTTGCTTAACCCTTCTAGAGCCTTCAATCTGTTCCAGACTAGACTTTATAGTGGGAGCTTTGGACTCCTCTAGATTTTACAGTTCTAAGTGCAGTAGGATAAAGAGGACTTGAGCACAGAACCTATGAAAAATCACGGCAAAATACATCTAATGTTGAGGAGGCACTCCTTATCAGGCTTGCAGAACACAAAGTTTTCACTCATCCCCAAATACAAGATCCATGATTTCCATATTTTTTTAATGAAAAAAAAAAAGAAGAAAAAATTGTGAAGTCGGAAGCAAAGAAATCCTCTTAAAAAGAAAATATGGATGTAAAACTTCTTCTTCTAAATATTAACTGCCAATTTAGAAAAGTATGGCACGGAATTTACCAGAAAGAATTAAAAATGGAAGCATACCAGGTTTGTTGGAGTGAAACGCAGAAACATCAGGCTGAGCGAAGCAATTGACGGTGAGAGGAGTTGGAGATGGTAGAACGGAGGTCGTCATTGCAAGATGGCAATTGGGTAAAAAAAAAAAAGATAGAAAGACAAAGAAATTGATGTGTTTGTAGCGGCTCTGGGTCGGTACACAGACGGCTGTCCTCTAGGCGGCGAGAGCGAGAGGACGACAGGTGCCGAACCCGAATACCTGACCTGATCAAATAAATTTTCTTTTTAAACAAAAACAAATAAATAAATTTTAAGGACGAATATAATACTTTATTCAATAATTCAATTTTCTTAATTATTATTATCAATTGGAAAAAAATAAATAAATTTTAGCCTTTAAATTTAATTATTTTATCCAATACAAATATTAATTTTTTATAACTATTATTTAAATTTAAAATAAATTTACTTAAATCATTCATAATACATTATAAAAATTTAAAATAAATTATTATTATATTGTTTATTTTATTTTATTTTAAAATATTAACATAAGTTATTTATACATTACATTATTCACTTCTTAAATACTCTATTCCATAACCATTAATTTTTTACTTTTTAATTTCTTATTTACCAAAAATAAAAGAGAGACTTTCTTATTTTAAATGTTGTCACCTGAACAAGCGTGGCACATTACAACAGAATCAAGAATTTCGTGCGAAGGCCTTAGACAACTGAACCCTAAATCCCTCTCTTCATTTCATCTCTGTCTCACACCATTGACTTCTCATTCGAAGCTCCGTTTAACATCTCAGAAAGCTCTAATTTTTCTTCGGGATTTTTGTTAGGAGTTTTGTTGCAGATATTATTCCGGGGATATTATCGTCTATGACGATGGAGATGGAAAAGGAGCGAGTCAGGAAACGACCTCGACTCACATGGGACGTAGCACCATTAGAACCAGAGGTTGGTCATCTTTCTGGTTTTCGGAAAATTAGGGTTAGGGTTTACAAGATTTACGACATCGATTTGAAACGAGAAAATCTTTGAGGTTGATAATCTGACATGGAGTGAACGTGGTTTTGTTCGGTTGAATGTTTTCTTCTAGACGCAAAGGGCTCTGGTGACGGGGCATGAAGTCGCAGCAAGGCACGCATCACCGCCTAAAAGGGATGATGACCGCGAGGGGCATTATGTGTTTAATCTTGGAGAGAATCTCACTTCTAGATGTGAGTTTTTCTTTCTAGTTTCACATTTTCTTTTGCGGGGTTGATTATATTCGCTTTTAGCTATTTGTTTGATTATTGTGATTGAATTTAAAATCGGAAGTGGAAAAGCATATCTTTTCAAGAACTCCAGCACTATGACAAAGTTCCTCTTAACGGGATATCCGGGTAGTTTATTTGTTTAAATTATATCAGTAGCTTCTCTTCTTTTTTGTTTCTTTGTTTTTTCTTTTTGAATGGTAAGTAGCTGCATTTTTAATTTATCATCTTGAACATCTTTGAACATGCTTTCTAATTATGTATCATTGATGATATCCATAATCTTTTGTAATACCTGGAGTGTTGTTTCTCATGTCAGAACCATTTTTTACTGTTCAGGCTGGATTACCTCCCAATTTGACTTCTAATTGGAATATATTATTTTGAATTGCTTGATCATATCTTGCTGTGGTGTCCATTGATGTTTAAGTTATGGACCATGGTGTATGGTTATGGGGAATTAGTAGGGTTATGGCAGATAAAGTAAGGGATGATATTTGGGCGTGTAAGGGTGTTAGTGGTGGGAGGAAACAAGTGGATCTCATTCACCTTGCTATTTTTTGGGTTGTGGAGAAAGAAATAAATAGGAGAGCTTTTGAGGAGGTGGAAGCCAATTTTGATAGAGTTAGAGGTAGATGGTTCTAGCCCTTGTGTTTATTGATAACATGTCATTTTTTTTTTTTGAAATAAAAGATGAAAGTGTTATTATTCACAAAAGGTACTAAGGGAGTACCACTCAGTTACATAGTACCAATAAAGTGGATCCAAAAGTATGAGACCATCTATCGTTGATGTTTACAAAGTCCATTTCTATTCCCCCAAAAGCTATAGCATTCTTTTCCTTCCACACAACCCAAAAAATGGTAAGCGGAATAAAAAATAAATGCTTTTTCTTCTTACAAATACCTGCCCAAGTCCATAATTCCTTACTTATATTACCCGCCATAACCCATCTCATTCTGATCAACTCGAACACCGACATCCATAAGCTTTGAGTAAACAGGCAAAATAATAAGATATGGTCACATGTCTCATCATCAGCCTTACATAAGAAACATCGATTAACAAGGATATTGCCCCGCCTCTTTAACATGTCAATAGTCAGAATACTTCCTCTTGAGGCTTCCCAAGCAAAAAAAGCCATTCTAGGGGAGGCTGCAACTTTCCAGATTTTTCTAAATGGGGCTATCATATTATTCCTATTGTCCTCTTTGGTTATAAAATTGATAACATGTCATTCTTTGCAACCTATGGAGGATTTTGGGAACCTTATAGATATCGTGCTGGAATTGTAAATAATTTTGTACATAGGTTGACATCTCCTTGGTGTCTGTAATTTGTGTACACACTGTATCTTTATTTCAAAAAAAAAAAAAATTATTCCGAATTGCTTAAGTTGCACTTTTCCAGGAAGCCGAATAATCTGCAATGCAGGTTCTTATGTGTTTTTTATTTTTTATGTTGATTGTCTGATCTAAACTTGTTTATAATTGTAATGTAACAGATAAAATACTTGGCAAGATGGGTGAAGGTTAGCTGTCAGGTGCCTGGTGTCTTCAAGATATTTTAATTTTGTGGTTCTGCATGTACAATTCAGCAAAAAATTGCTGCTGTTGTAGGCACTTTTGGCCGAGTTTTAGAATGTTGGGATCGTCAAACAAAAGAGTATGTGGCAATCAAGGTAGTTCGTAGCATACGGAAGTACCGCGATGCAGCAATGATTGAAGTTGATGTGCTTCAACATCTGGCTAAGAATGAAAGAGGCAGCTCACGGTACCTTCCTTTAATTTTCTGGAATAGGAAGAACGCTGGTGTCATTCTATATGTGCTTAAAGTGACATGTTGGTTCCTTTGTGCAGTTGTGTACAGATCAGAAACTGGTTCGACTACCGCAATCACATATGTATTGTAAGTATTCCCATAAACTTATGATAAAGGTTCTTTTTTTGGTTACTTTTTATTGCTTCTTTGTCAAGAATTTGTGATGTTATTTAGTTGACGTTCATAACAAGTATCTAATGAGTTATGAATTCAATAAATCTTATTTAATAGAAAGATGGACATTACTTACACATTATCTGACAATCACTGATTTAGAAATTTTGTGTGGGGATCTTATGGATAAGTGTACTCTTTTTGGAATTCTCCATCTCTGTGTCTTTTTTTTGCCTTTGTCCTTGGTGGTTGGTACTTCAATTCTTGAAGCTTTCTGGGACGTGGGCAGTGTATGCGTGGACCCTTGCTTGTTTGATGTTTCTTTTCTTGAGATTTAGCGATTGATTCCCCTACATTATAGCAGAGAACTAGATGTTAAATTTTCTTTTGGCATTTCTTACAGTTAATCTGTGTAGACTTCATTCATGAAACTGGGAACTAAACATAAACCTTCCTTTGGATGAATTTTAATGGTGTTACCAGGTATTTGAGAAGCTTGGACCAAGTTTATTTGATTTTCTAAAGAGAAATAAATACTGCCCATTTCCTGTGGATCTTGTTCGGGAATTTGGACGTCAGCTTTTGGAATCTGTAGCATGTGTGTGAAATTGTTCTTGCCTCCTGATTATCATCTTATGGTTCCTAATCCATCACTAGGCTCTGTTTTGGTGTACTTTGTTTGTTCAGGGTGGCATCATGTTTCTTATCATGTTTTCTTCTCCCCTTTTTGACAATTTTATATGCATTTTTCATATCGAGCAGATATGCATGAGTTACGGTTAATTCACACTGATCTGAAGCCAGAAAATATACTTCTTGTGTCCTCTGAATACATAAAGCTTCCAGGCTGCAAGGTATTTAGCCTATATAATTGGAAAAATTAAATGCCATCTTCAATTTGGGTATGAACTCAGTTGTGATAAACAAATTCTTGGAATGATACAGAGGAGTTCATCAGATGAAACACATTTCAGGTGCTTGCCAAAGTCCAGCGCCATTAAGCTGATTGATTTTGGTAGTACTGCATTTGATAATCACAACCATAGCTCCATTGTTTCAACAAGGCATTACAGAGCCCCTGAGGTCATTCTAGGTAACTAGTTGTGTGCTGGCACATTAGAATTTGTTTTCCTCATTTGCTTTATAAGTATGCTGTATACTTAGCACCCATAACAGCTGCTAGTCTCCTGGTCTAGTGGATTTATAAGTTTTAGAGAGAATGGGTATTGAATTCCCACCAGTAGATTAGGGAACATAGGTTATTACCTTCTCATAAAGTTTTGAAAATGCTTCATGGAGGTTAAATGTGGCTATATTTTCAATATTCTGAACTTTCCTTAGACTTGTTTGTTAGCATGGTCCTTTGTCATAAGAATGAGATTATTGAATTCCTGAGCTGTTATTAGAATTTCTATTCATCATTTGGCTTCTTAGCAACCTCATCGGCATGTGTACCTCATGCTTCTATTGAATTATAAACA